TTTCGTAAATTCAAATTTTCATCACTAGTGAGATTTAAACTCTAGTTCTGCTACTTGGAGTGTAACAACTTTACAACTTCACTAAGTCATTACACCCTTATATAAAAATTTTTAAATTTTTAGATTTCATTTACTTTTTAATAAAAGCTAATCCCAAAGTAATAATAATTGATTCTAAGAATAAAGGTTTCTTATCTTTAGTTTGTATATTTATTAATCATTAATCTATAATACAAAAATTAATTTTTTGTTAAAAAAAAAAGAAAAAAATTTGAAAAAGTATTAATAAATAGCTAATCAGATTTCACAAATTATTCTAAAATTATTTATCTATATTTGGTAAAATCTCTGACTAAATTATTTTTAAATAATACTGTATAATCATTTTAAAATTTTTTACAAACTTTGATTAAAAGCAAATAATAAATTTCACTCTTTTTGACAATCCTCTGATCAACAACAATAAAAATCAAACTACTGAAAAACATATAGAAAAGCAACAAAGTAGATACTAAACTTGGTTCTATAAGTAGGAGCAGCTTGTTGTCGATGAAATTTAAACATCTAGACTATACATGCTACCGAAATAGGTTTTCAAAAAAACCCTATTTCATTTCTATTAGAGCAATTTAAAATTTTTATATACAAGAGCAAATCTAATTTAGGTAGTTATATTCTTTATAATTTCATCTCTTCAAAAAAAATATCAAAAAATTTCATCTTTTAAATTAAGTAGGTTAAAAACAATTTCGTTTTCAAATTTTAATTTCATAACCTGAAATCTAAAATAATTTCGTCAGCATATATAATCTAGATATAAAATACCAAGAAGCAGGCGTCAAAAAAATATGGATGGTTTTCTTTGGGATCAAGTTTTTTCTTCTTCTAGGCAGATTCTCCAAGATATTTAGCATCCAAACCAGAAGATTTATTCTGAAAACAAGTCTGTAGAATTAGCTAACATGCACTTCTAAGTTGATAGATATGGAGAAGCTAAACTATACAACTATAAAACTTACAAGAAGAACCTCACATACTTCTATTGGCCCACCACTTTTTTTCGAAAATTTTTTGTAAAAAGTGGGTGTTTCAGTTTATCTTCTCCAAATAATCAACATCATATGTACCAAACAAGTCAGCATTGTTTATCTTCCAAATTAAAATATAACAATAAATATGTGTATATATGTGCCTCAAATGCAATAGATATCTGTATAAACAATGCTCTGAAACTCTGTTCTGACCTCTCTACCTTAAGTTGGTTGATAAAGTTTTTCCTATTAGGTTTTTACTTTTGTATACTAGTTTAGAGAAAAATAGAAATAGAAACTAATTAGTTTAGTCAGTATATAATTTTTCTAAGCCACCTATAGGTTTATAACTGTGATATTAAGATTAGCAAATTTTCTGTTTTTTTTTTTAATATTTCTTTACTCTTTTTTTTTCGTATTTTGTATTCTTTTACTATAGTCCTTTATATCTCTGTATTTTTTTTTTTAGTTTGTTTGTTTTTCTAATTTTGCTTCTTGATGAGTGGATAGCTGCCAGCTAATAAACAACAAGAAAAAAGTCCTTAGTGAGTTAATGACTCTGAAGGAGGCCAAGTGCTATTGAGGCAGGTCATGCCTAGTAAACCCCTCTAGCTCACCCCCAAAATTTTTTCAGACACGTGTTTTTAGCCAATTGGATTGAAGGATCAGGTGTAATATGAAAATTATGCCTTTTACAAAAATCACCAATAACTCGAAATTTTGTTTATAAAACTGCTTTACATATTCTAACAAAAAAAATTCCTTGCAAAATTTTGGTATAACCTATGTTCATCCCTTGACCTTAATCCTAATCCTAAGATGATATTTATTGTTCGCTTATTCAATTGTTTTGTTTTCATGTATTTGATTGTTTTGATTTTACATTATACCTGATCTTTCGATCTAATTGGCTAAAAATCACGTGCTGAAAAAAATTTTGTAGGTAAGCTACTAGATATTGCCTGGTATATAAAATCATATGATAAGTCTTTTGTTTAGTAAGATCTATTAAAGTTAGAGATAAATTTTTGTAATTTTGAATAATTTGATCCCAAATAAATAAAGGCAAGATAGCTAAATTAGAAAAAAAAACAAACTTTGATCAAAGATATTTTAGTAACTATTTAATCAAAATTAATGAATTTTTTTTATTTGAATTCTACAGATCTATAAAATTCAAATAAAAAAAAAGTTTATTAATTTTGATTAAGTGGTTGCTAAGATATCTTTGGTCAAAGTTTTGAATATTTGTGATAAAATTAAAGAGATCTTCATATAACTATAATGCAAATAACAAAAATCTATAATGTGAATAGCAATTCTTTTAAAAAATATTAATTATATCAAATTTATATAAATTTAATAAAAATATATTTTTAAAAATTATAAAAATAAGTGTGTAGTAACTTAGTGAAGTTGATAAATTGTTATATCCCAAGTAGTAGAACAAGAGTTCGAATTTCACTGCTAATGAAATTTAAATTTACAGAATATATTACTGCAAACTGTATAACATATTGATTGGATTAACACCTATAACCTTAGTCATACCAGCTTGTACTCTCCTAGGCCATCTGAATTGAAAGTTTAGTACCAACAGTTGGCATCAAAATATTGTTAATAGTTTATAAAATAGGTGTTGGGGTTTGGATAAACTTTGCAAGAGCAAGGAGTAAATGATAGTAGCAAAGCTAAAATGTCACAAATACTTGGCTGCAGTTGAGGCATAAGTTACTAAAAATCTATATGATATATGTGTAAAATATAAACTACTCTAGTAAGTTTATTATAAGAATAAAGGACCCCCTATATAGTAATGTATATCTGCTTTAAAGTTCTAAGAAGCTTTCACAGCAATTCTTCTTTGCAAAGAATATCTATTAATGATACTAAGTTGATCAGAGAGTTTAAATAGAGAATCTACAGACAGATTTTAGATATAACAATTGGTAGATTATTATAAATAGCAATAATTATAGCAGAGCTTTTAATTAAGCAATAACTAAAGTTATATATATAGCTAATTGTATTCTTGTTAATATAACAAAATTAGAAATGGCCCATGTGGCTGTTCTAACATTCGAACTAAAGTTAATAAAATGTGCCAAACCTCTAAATGATTATCTTAATATTAAAAAAAAAATTATAAAAATAAGAAAAATATCTTATATAATAGCTATATATCATATAAAAGAGACATATCTTTTAATAAAAAAGTATGTCTTAAACATGTTCCTGAAAACATGCTCTATGAGTATGCCTCTTAACCCCATACTCTCAACTCTATCAATAATGCTATGTTATATATAAATAGCCAAGAAAAAACTGGTATATATATACATATATATATATTTAAACCATATATAATCTAGTTAAATGACTTTTTTTATAAAAATAAAATATTTATTATATTATTGTATTAACTTATATTAATACTATATAAAATTTTTTGCTATATGTACTACAAATTAATAATTATAGGATATAGTTACAAAAAACTAAGTATATAGAAGTTTGATTTTTTGTTACAATATTTTTTTATATTATATAATGCTGTTTACAATATTCTTATAATAAATATTTTCTTTGCACAATGCCAGAATAGTCTTATTTTAAATATAGTACAACATATAGCATTTTCTTTGTCTCTTCACACAGTACATGTATCTATTCAAACTAGTCTAAAAGTTTTTTAAATAAGATTAAAATACTATAAACAACATTATATAGTAATATTCAAAGAAGTTAGTCTAGACAAAACATGACTTTCAGAAGTAAAAAAAAAAACTTTATCTAAATTTTAATATTATTAGAGGCAGGACATGCTTGTTAGCAAAAAAGATCTATTGAAATGCCGCCTTCAGCAAACTTCAAATATTACTTAAATACGTTGTTTTTTTATTCTTAGGCCACTTGAAGTTATAATTTCATTTGATATTTGAAGTGTAAGCACAGTGGAGGAAAGGGCTAAATTAAACAGACATTATATAACACCTCAAAAAAATTTCCATTATTATTGGTGGGCCACAGTCTCATGACTTATCGAAATCTCAAAAACATAATGAACATTTGAGTAGTTTAAACATTTAGTATATCTGCTTATGATAAAACAAAAATAGGATGTTCTATAGAATAGGTGGACAATATAAGAAAAAAGCTTCGCTAATGATTAGTAATCATTAACTTTTAATAGCGGAGTTGCCCACCTAATCTATAGTAAACATTTTCTTAAACTTAAATTTAAACTTAAATATCTTAACAACTACCTAATCAAATTTAATAATCCTTTTTTTCTTAATTCTATACAACTCTAAGAATAAAATAAAAATTTTTTTATCAATTTTGATTAAAATGTTGAGATATTTTAATTTAAAAATTAAAAAAATTTTGCTAAAAATGATTTGACCCTTTTCTATTGACTTCCTCCAATATAGTACCTTTTCTAGTAGACTATAACATTTTTAATGTTGATTAAAAAATTTTGTACAATAAGATATAGACGAATGATTGAATAACATCTATTTATAATTCGGATTAAATATAACTATCAGGATCTAAACACTGATAAGCATTGTTTTCAAAACTCGGATTCTATTTGTATTTCATCCTCAATTGAATCGAGGATATAATCTCCATCAAATGTAAATAATTCCACTGAATATTCCGGTAAGTCTGCATCCTTTATATATGATGATGATTTCCCACGTCTTACATTCTCCGTCTTTTTAAGAATATTTCTCTTCGAATATTTATGGTATGATTCAAGACAACCACGCATTGACTCTAATGATTCATATATCAATACGTCACATGCAATACGATTTGCCAATCGAGATAGTAATGGATGTATTTTTGAATCCATAATAAGAGTCGTAAAATGTGCATCTAACAATAAGGTCAAAAATTCTAAAAGCTTTTGTTATAAACAATTAATATTAGTCATCAATTAATATTAACTATCAATCATATCTACGATGTCTGATTGCTTACTTTATGAAACTCGGGTAAATTATCTGCAACGTTATTACATTCATGCATTTTTAGTTGTGAATCTTGTTTTTTTGATAAAACTTCTTTTACGAATTCTGTCTGATCGTATTTTTCGACCCATCCATATAATATTTTCATCACAATCATCACTTCATCTTCTGTTAATTGACGTAAACTCCATATCATCATATTATCATTTTTTGGGGCAGCAATAAGATACCTAAGTATACTTCCAATTGAAAATGTTTTGGTTTGACTCGAGATTGCATATTTGAGTAGGTATACAAGATCATCTTCGGGAATGTCATTCATAAAGTAAAGGGCTGATTTAATTAAGTCCTGTAATATGAAAATTAAAGAGAAATAGTATTACAATATGATAAAATGGTTGATACACAATAATATGGAAACATAATAGTAGGGTCATAATTTACCCATGTTTCCCTTTCTATTAAAGCTTTGATAATCCCGCCCTTTACAAACTTGTTTGACATCATTTTTGATTGAATAAAGTATTGGAGGACCTCTGGTACCCAACAATTCAAATTTGGCGTACCATCCGGATTTTTAGATAAACAATATTCGATTACTGTTTGAATAAAATAATATGATAATTCTGGCCTTTGTGCTTCTCCTGACTAAACAAAGTTTCATAATTGTCAAATAAATGTTTAAAACAATAAATTATCCATAATCATAGATTGTTTACCTCAAGATATTCGCATATTTTTTCTTGATTAAGAATGTATTTTCTTGATTCATATGTTTTTACTTCCCATTCTTTCCATAAATCTTGCCATTTTTGATAATTATCATCATCTTCAATATCAGGATTATCGTTGTCATCTTCATAAATGTTTATAGCTTTCATTCTTTTAGATTTCTTAGAAAATTGCTTATTACTCTTCCAATTTTCAAGATATTTTTTATATTGTTCTTTGTCTATATCATGCCTTTTCAAAAAAGATTCAAATGCTTCTACGCCCTTTTGTTTCATAAAAAGTTGAAATCGTTCTCTAACATTTTCAGTCGTATGAGATTTGAACAAAAGGAACTTTAGAAATTTGTATTCTTCCTTTTGTAATTCTTTAATATTATTTTCAATATCTTTTAAAAATTCGTCAGAAGCATGTTCAATTGATTTCTATAATATTAATATAATTATTAGAATCGGTATGAAAAAATAATCAAAGTTATATTCAATAAAGTTATACTTACAGGTTTTGTATCCAAATCAATACCAAATCTGGTAATTCCGAAACCCCGAGTATAACCACTTCCCAATTGTAAATATGCTGATGAATCTTCCATGCGATTTAATGCGTGTAACAACGTCATTGGTTCATAATGATATCGACAAAGGAATGTTGATAATTTAAAAGTATTGGGATTATTCGATAAGGATTCAGATAGTGTAGATACTATCAAATTGCTACCAGGTACAACGATAAGCTGATATTAAAATTTAAAATAAATGCATTAAACTTGATATGATAAATGGTAGTGACATGTTGACGAACTCTATACCTGAAATTTAAAAAGAGAAGGATATGATGCAATATCTGTAGAGTTTTCTTGCTTCAGTGTGCCAAGTACACACTCAACTTGTAATGTTCCATAACGTAAATCCCATATGGTCAAAACCTTATTGACTTTTAACATGATAAATTTGTAACAAGGAATTAATTTTAGATTGAATATTTATACATTGATTAAATATATATATGTTGTAAGTGGGAACGGAATTTAAGTGAATTTGAAATTTCTTAAAAAATTGGTAGAATTTATTTTATATAAACTTACACCTAAAAATCCCAAATCCATTTAAATTCCGTTCCTACTTACACCATATACATGCATGTCACTTACTTGACGTCGAAGTTTTTTGCATTCCAACAAGAGCCAAATAAGAATCGGAAATAGGAGCGAACCCTATTGCATGTCCACCTTGTATTGTCGAAAAGTGCTTTTCCGTAAACGGTATCAGTCCATCAAATTCAAATTTCAAAATTTCGGATAACGTTATATCAATATTGGATTCGATAAAATTAAAGGTGATCATAAAGATTTTCAACACGCCCGACGAAACTGTATATCCATATTGAGGTTGGGTTAGACACGATCTTAATATCCTAACGAGAACTAAAGATGGATTTCATGATAGATTACATAATATAAACAATCTCCCGGTCGATGAATCAAAGTTGAAAGATAAAGGAGTTGACAACTATTAAGAAGGCCATATAGGTTATTAGTAATTTGATTCATAAAAGCACACGTCGTTTGTGAAATGCTTGTAGAAGAAATAGACACCTGATCAGAAAATGTGTAGTGACCCAAAAGTCCACAACACAATTTATCACAATTAATCCACGTGAATGATAGAAAAAGATGTTTAGATGTAAAAGTTGTACTGTTTTTCTCAGATTTATTCATCGAAATTGTGAGGACCACCAAAGATGGATGCGGTAAGAAGTTTGTAGGAACACATGAACCAGAAGAATTAAAAAGAGTTGACCAGATGACACGTCTTTCATTTTTTTTCTTTTTAGTTTTAGCACCAATAAAATTATCACCAACAGGTTTCAAATTAGTCTTAACCAATAACAATGAACCATCTTTGTTTATCAAAATGATATTTTTTGGAAGGAGGGAAGACAATTCCAGAGAAAATATCTCTTTTTCAAATTCTCTAGTCTTTAAAAAAATAATACAGAAAATTAATAAAAACATATATTGCAAATTAAATGCAAATTAAATGAGTAATAGTAAAGACTTAAATACACACACCTTTTTTTTCGTTGACTGGGGACTTTCCAAAGACTTTTTCTTGTCTTTCCAAAACCATATAACTTTATCTGATCCCGTAACATCATTATCCGAGTGAATTATAACGTAAACATAACATCTACCAGACTTTATAATACACTTTGCTGGAGTAATCACAGAACATTGGGCAGGAATCGTCCAATTACGTAACTGACGACCATCATCCTGTAAGGTTAAAGGCACGGAACAAAAATACAAAAATATAAATACTGATATGTAAACATATAAAATTGAAAAAAAGGTCGTATAATTAAGATAAGCTCACAGAAACCAAAGAAATGCCCGATCCTTTGCAAGTAACAAGAATCTTTTCTTCTAGCTCAGAATCATTTTCATTAATTGATTTTTCCGTATCACTTTTAATAGACTCGGCATCATTCATCAAATCATTTGTTTTTTCATCGATTGTTTTAACGTTGACTTTATTAAGAATTTTTGAGTCCTCTATTTTTGAACTCTTCTTGCTGATATTGATTTCCCTATTATATCCACTACTTTGACATTGGTCCATCAATAGTTTTATTAGCTCTTTCAAGGAAGTGTTTAACAATTACATATCCTTTAAATCCAGCATCAACTAAGACATTTACTTCAAATTCCTAGAACTTCAGCTATAACAAAGAGAATATCTTTAACTTGATTTTTTAGATTTTCTTCATTATTATAAACTTCACTTGAGTTTAACTCAAGTATTTCTATTATTTCTGCTTCTTCTTGATTCAACCAGAAAAAATTAATAATAATGTTAATATTGGTATAACGGATAATCTTGGTTTAAGCTAATAAAGTTTCACTTTGATGCATTCGGATGAAAAGTATCAACTATGTAATTTATATAGTACAAAGATCTTATTTGTAGGTGCGCCATAATCCCCACATAATAAAATAACGTTCAAAAAATAGCTTTCAAAAAAGTTGCAAAAAACCAGTTTTTTTTATTAATACCCTTTTTTTTTTTTTCCGAATAGCCAAGTGTATAATTAGTTGGTTTAGATGAATTTTAAAAATAAATATTGATTTGTAAAAATTTAATTGGCAACGCAGCTTAGATGCGCCAGAATACCCTACTTTACCTTGCTAGATGTACGCAACGTTACGTTTACATCAGCCAATGAAATTACATCAGCAAAAAAGATAAAAACGATTATCTCAAAAAAAAAAAAAAAAAAAAAAAAAAATCAAAATTTTGCAATGAGTG